GCCACTGTAGAAGCCTCTTGCTATTCAACCCGAGTACCGACAACTCTAAACGCGAAATCCCGATATCCCGCCGTAGCAGCTCAGTAAGCGCTGATGCATGCTGGAATTTACCACTGCGCTGGTCTACTTTTTAGCGTGTATATATATATATATATAGCGATGCGTATTTGCATTTGCAGGCGTCATCACCTGTAGCATCAGCATCTGCTTCTGGCATCCTTGCGTAGATATTTCCATCATCGCATATGCGCAGAATTAAGCAATTAGTGCTTCTAGTTTTGTATACAGCTGCACAGCGGTCTGCTTTATTCCTCTCCGCCTCCTATCTTAACTGCCCTACACCTTTAATCTATCTCTGCTTTCTCCTTAATCTACACTCAGATGGATATTGAAGGACGCCACAACGTGCCGAAGTTCATGTTTCTGCACCTTGTACGGTGTCCGCCACGTTGCATTTAAAGTTGAAAGAATTAAACTGAAGGAAACGACGTTCAGTTCTCTGCTTGAGCTGTTGTCTGGACAAGGAAACGACGTTCCTTCACATTCATTTACTTCGCCTCCCCCATCTGTTTCCTTAGACGAGCAACAGTTGAACGCACTGTGGCTGCTGCTGCCGTCTGCAGAGTCCACGCGCCTCCAGTCATAGTTTTTGAACAGCCTCTGCAGTGCCAGATGCCGACCGCTTGCCGCTTCACGCTCAGCTGTACATACACCGCAAACACAGAACACTTCCTCTTCAGGGTTTAGGGAATGATAAAGAAAATGTCGAAAAAGTGGAGAGCTACACAGAAAAGTTGAATCGTGGGTTCTGCATGAACAAGCGCACTTCAGTATTCGTGTGTTTATAAGCACGGGGATATTGCTACGTCTAAATCATAAAGAAACGCATAGCGTTACAACCAACAGTTCACAAGTACGTAATAATGCCTGTCCATACACTCGGTGTACCGTCGACACACCTCCCTCACCAATGAAATATGAATGCACCTTTCTTCGTTGCACTTTAAAATAAATACGCACAGCTGTAGGCCCTAACCCTAAACCCTAAACCCTAAACCCTAAACCAGCCTGCCAGACCGGTATGCACAACTCGAAAGCGGTACAAACCCATAATGAAAACGAAGAATCTATCGTTGTGTGTGTTATTTATCTTCTTTTATACTCCCATGCCCCCTCTCACCTTGCCGCAGAAGGGGCAGGTGTACTTCGCATGCTGCTGCAGCTCCACCTTCTTCATTACTTTACGCAAAGACGCGCCATAACGCGTGCCGTACTTCCCCACAACTCCGACCTGCGGATTAGAGAGTAGAACAAAGCACCGAACAATCAAACAACTAAAACACAAACGAACAACAACCAATAATAATAATGATAATGAAGGGCAGTGAACAGTTCCTTCCGTACTACAGTATCCAAATGTGGGATATATTATACCTATATATATATATATATATATATATATATATATGGCGGGGGCGTATGCAAGAAGCAGGCACACCAAACGCAACACAAGGTACAGGAATATTTCGATTGTTTTGTGATTGCTTTGTGAAACATACGCCAAATGTAGACAAACAGTGGCCAGCAGAAATAGAGAGAACTCGAAGCAAACAAAAAACAGAGTCCCTCAACACCTCCGCCGTCGTTGCTGTCTTTGTCGCTCCCCGTTGGAACCACCGAAGGAGGACAAAGGCCTTTGATGGCTCTTGGAAAGAGCATTTCTACATAGGCAAACCCTAAACCCTAAACCCTAAACCCTAAAAAAGAAGCATGCAGCCTTCGATCGCAAGCATCCAAGAGTATCTACACCTGCATAGGTCACTCCTCTCCTTCTTTTCTGTCTATTTCGTAAGAGGCATTCTTAATATTT